AGGGAGCAGCACGAGGGGACAGCTTGTCCGCAGACAAGTCACGGACAAACGCCCGAGATCCCCAGACACGGAACGCAGACGCATCGCCGACCTTCCCCGTCCACAGCAGAGCTGGAGAGGTCTCCGGCCGGGAGACCCTGGGGTGAAGGTTGATCTGATGCGCCGCGTACCGAACCGCAAACGGCCACAGAAAATGGGGGGCAGCCGCATGCATCATGGACGTACGAGCGACGTCCATGACCATGCCAATGCGGCGCTCAGCAATCCCATTTTGCTGTGGAGAGTCCGGAAGCGTAAAGGTCTGGCGGATGCCTCGTGCACGACAGTAGGCTCGCAGAAGGCCAGAGGAGAACTCTCCACCTCGGTCAGAGTGCAGACGCAGAACAGGAAAGTCCGAGCCGAAGCTCCTCCTGAGCTGGAGACGAGCTGCGCGGATCCAGTCGATCAACACCTCAGTGACATCACCCTTGCTGCGCAAGGGGAAGACTGTGGTGTAACGCGAGTAGTCGTCAACCACCAGCAGGAAGTAGCGCTCGTGACCCTGCCCACGGACGCGGGCGGGGCCCCACACGTCCATGTGAAGCGTCTGCAGAGGAGCCTCTGTCGGGGGAAACTGGGAGGAGTGAGGGGCAGCCCGGAGCCGCCCCTCGACACAGGGGACACAAGAAGGTCCGGGTCCCGAAGGAAGGGGAGGGAGAGACCGGGGAAGACCAGAGACAAGGACACGGGAAGCCATGCCCCGAAGACGAGGCAAGGAGGGGTGGCCAAGACGGTGGTGCCACAGGAGAGTCTCGTGAGACAGGCGGCGACACGAGCAGGGGGCAGACTCAGGACCAGACCTGGACGCAGCAGCAAACACCTGACCCGACGCAGCTACCTGGCCAGACGCAGGGACAGGAGGAGACGCAGTGGTCAGTGTGTAGAGACTCGACCCTGGCCGACGCGAGAACGTGGCCAGGTGTCGGCCTGTGCGGGCATCCGAGCAGTGGGTCACCCGCTGACTCGCAGGAGTAAACTGGTGAACCCCCGCATCCTGCAGGTCAGCACCACTCACCAAGTTCGTCGAGAACGAGGGGAGGTACAGACCAGACAAGGTGCCCGAGGGGGCAGCCGGACACGGGAGGACAGTGGAGAAGTGAGAGAGGACAGGACCCCCAGAGGGGTCAGCCAGGGAGACTGCAACCGGCCGGCCAAGCGGCGTGAGTGTGGTGCGGTCTCGAAAGAAGGAGCGAGAAGCCCCTGAGTCAAGTGTGAAGGTGAGGGAGGCCGAAGCCGACGCAGTACCTGAGAGCGCAGCCTCACCAGTACCTGAGAGTGCAGACGCACTGGCACCTAGAGCAGCAGCCGCAGAAGTACCTGGCGCAGCAGTACCAATGCCCGGGTCGGGCGGGAAACACTGGTAACAGTCACCCTCCTCACTAATAGTCACAGCATACATGGCAGCAAGGATAGCATCAAAGTCAAGATCAAAGACAGCTACGCCAGCCCTAGACAGCTCTCCCCAACGGGGAATCTCACTGGCCTCGGGGAACTGCTGACGCCAAGCGTCCGTCAGGCGGCCAAAGCAGCGCTGAGTGGGGTGCGCACCCCCACACTGCTCACCCGCTCGGTCACCGGAACGAAGGACGTAGGTGCACGGACCAAAACCCCCACCCCGCTGACGCTGCGTGTACCACTCACGGAGCTGCTGGGGCGGGGGGATGTCCCGCGAACGCTGCTGCTGCTGCTGCTGCTGCTGACGCTGGCCACCACCAGGGCCGCTACGCAGCGGGGCACCACCCCGACCAGCTCCACCCCCTCCGCCACCGCTGCCTCCACCTCCACCACCACCGCTGCCTCCGCTCCCACCGCTGCCGCCACCACCGCCTCCTCCTCCGCTGCTGCCACCGCCACCACCGCCCCCGCCACCACTCCCACCGCCACCCCCACTCCCTCCTCCGCCTCCACCGCCTCCTCCACCGCCCCCGCCAGCTCCACCCGCGCCCTTGCCCCCCTTGCCCCTGCCAGGGCGGCGTCTCCCGCTAGGGGCAGACGCCGCGCAGACCGACTCAAGACCAAGCAGGTCGGCAGCAGCAGCAGAGGCAACAGAGGGCAGCAGGGGGGAAGGAGAACACCCCTCAAAGATGGGGGTGCGAGGGTCACCACGAGAGGCTCCTACAGCGACGATGCTCTTCTCCGCCGCCAGGAGGGACTTCTCGAGGAGGTCGACAGTGAGAGTGGTGGGACAGACCGAGAGGTAGTGGTCCCTGACTACGCGAAGGGAGTCAGGGAGGCGTGTGACTATGTAATAGAGAGTGATGTACATGGGGGGGGGGTTCTTGGCGCAGAACTCAGCAGGAAGGGCGGCGCGGTAGCGAGTGTCACTAGTGCGGAGGTGCGTAATGAGGTCAGCGACAGTGGGAAAGGCAGTAAGGTCAGGAAAGAGGTACGGTAGCATGAGGCGGCTCAGGGCAGCAGTGGCAGGGGAAGAGTAGCGCGCAACTACAGCGTCGTACAAGGTCTGAGCACTCTTGTACTGACTAAAGTGCGCGCGCTCAGTGGTAGGCAGGTGGCGACGCACAGCAAGACGTGCAGCAGCATCGCGGGTGGCCCACTGAGAGCGAACAGTGGGGTCAGCATCAGTAGCAGGGGCAGGAGAGGCGCCAGAGGTGAGGTCAAAGAGGGAAAGACCGTCCGCCCTATCGCACTGTAAGAACAGCTGCAGGTCGTCGACCCAGACCTCAAAGTCAATGGCTCGACCCTCAGCGTCAAAAGCGAGGACACTAGGGGTAGCCATGACGACGACAGACGAGCAGTGCAAGCAGTAGGGGAAGGGCACGCAGTGACAGTGGGGCTGTGCTCACCGGACAGGGCAGGTCGGGCGGCTCGGCAGTAGGGCGGCTCGGCTGCTCAGCGGCTCGGCGGCAGGGCGGCTCGGCTGCTGGGCGGCTCGGCTGTTGGGCGGCTCGGCGGCAGTGCGGCTCGGCTCCCGGGCGGCTCGGCGGCAGGGCGGCTCGGCTCCCGGGCGGCTCGGCTGCAGGGCGGCTCGGCTCCCGGGCGGCTCGGCGGCAGGGCGGCTTGGCTCCCGGCGGTTCTGCTGCTAGGCGGCTCCCGCAGGTAGGGCGGCGGTAGGGCCGCAGGTTGGGCGGCGGTAGGGCCGCAAGGAGGGCGGCGGGCGGGCCGCAGGTAGGGCGGCGGTAGGGCCGCAAGTAGGGCGGCGGGCGGGCCGCAGGGAGGGCGGCGGTAGGGCCGCAAGTAGGGCGGCGGGCGGGCCGCAGGTAGGGCGGCGGGCGGGCCGCAGGTAGGGCGGCGGGCGGGCCGCAGGTAGGGTGGCGGGCGGGCCGCAGGTAGGGCGGCGGGCGGGCCGCAGGTAGGGTGGCGGGCGGGCCGCGACGTGAGGGCGGCGGGGCCGCTGTAGTGGGGCGGCGGGGCCGCTTAGCAGAGAGCGGCGGGGCCGCGTGAGCAGGGCGGCGGGGCCGCGTGAGCAGGGCGGCGGGGCCGCGAAGCAGAGGGCGGGCGGGCCGCGACGTGAGGGCGGCGGGGCCGCTGTAGCAGGGCGGCGGGGCCGCGTAGCAGAGGGCGGCGGGGCCGCGTGAGCAGGGCAGCGGGGCCGCGAAGCAGAGGGCGGCTGGGCCGCGCGAGCAGGGCGGCGGGGCCGCGAAGGAAGGGCGGCGGGGCCGCGTTAGTAGGGTGGCGGGGCCGCGAAGGGAGGGCGGCGGGGCCGCAAGGGGCGACACGGAGGGTCGCTAAAAAAAAAAGGAAAACGCGCCTCGGGGCGCGCTTCGGTGGGCCCTAGAAGCAGTCCCTAGGAGGGGACCTGCTCTGATTCCATGTGAAAATGAAGAACGAGAAAATGGGTGAACTATGAAATGAAGTGAGTACAAATAGGAAACCCTAATTGGGTTGTACCCCTTATGGGATACCCCACTATAGCCTACACAACAGCATAAGCTATATAATGTTCTGACAGAGGCGGCGTTGTATCGCTACGTTTGCTTGCAGCGCGCTAATGGGGTGGCGATCTCGGTGAAAGACACCCAGAATTGGAGCCGCGAGTGGATGAAGAAACACCACTCCGGCAAGAACTGGAACGCGAGCTCTCACTGGAGCCAGCGTTTCCGTGACCGCTGGAACCTGGTCATGCGTGTGAAGACCAAGGTCGGCCAACGGTTATCGGCTGGTGAGTGGTAAATGCCTTGAATTCGCGCTCGATGCTTGACTGCATGTTCCTCGCCCTTTATTTCTAACCATCCCCTCCTGTCGTGGCGTGTGTTCCCTTTGCAGAGTGCGCTAAGGACTGCGAGTCGTTCTGGAAGTTCGTGCGCATCAACAGGGCGCGGCACAACATCGACCTGGCCCGCATCATCAACGCGGACCAGGCGCCCTTCTTCGTTGAGATGCCGGCCGTGAGGACGATCGAGCACCGTGGCGTGCGCTCGGTCCCAATCGGCACTGCAGAATATGAGAAGACGCGGCTCACGGTGATGCTCGCGTGCACCGCATCCGGGGAGAAGCTGCGCCCGTGGGTTTGGTTCAAGCTAAAGAACGTGCCCAACTGTGAGATTCCGGAAGGTAAGCTCAAGGAATCCGGGAGCCGTAAGCTTGATGAGCATGCCCTCCTTGGTTGACGCCCGTCTATCCCCTATGTGCCTGGCAGGAATCGTATGCCAAGCACAGGACAACGGCTGGATGGACGAGAGCGCTGTGCAAACCTGGCTGACCAAGGAGGTGCTGCCCCATCTGAACCCCCAACGCGGCCAGAACACGAGGCGTGCGATCCTGGTGTTGGACTCCTACCGCGGCCACATCACCCAGACCATGCTTCAAGCTTACCGCACGCACAGCATCACCCCTGCAGTGATCCCAGCGGGGATTCAACCCCTTGACGTCTCCATCAACCGGTGCTTCAAGGCTGCTGTGCGAGCGCGTTACGCCAGGTGGTTCATGCGTGAAGGGATTCACCTGAAGACGAAGGCTGGTGAGTAGCCTTCTGAATTAAACTTCTGCGCTGTTTTCTTTCCATGACTCTACCGGCTCGCTACCCCTGCCTCTGTCCCACCCGCAGGGAACCTGCGGCGGCCTCCGCACCCCGTGGTGCTGCAGAGGCGTGGGATCAAGTCCCCAAGAAGATCATCATTGATGCGTTCCGCCACTGTGGAATTTCAATCAAGCTGGACGGGACGGAGAACCACCTGGTGATGTCTCACCTGCACGCCAGGAGCACCACCGATGTCTCTGAGGATATGTGCCTCGGGGAACCACGGGCGACAACACGCGCATGCTTGGGCAGGCTCCAGAGGAGGAGGAGGAGGAGATGCAGGCGGAGGGCGTGAGGGAGGTGGCAGTGGCAACCGGCCTGGATGTGTTGTACCAGGAGACCCCCAACTACCGCGGAGCAGCGGCTGAGGCTGACCGCATGATCGAGCCTAGGGAGACGGCTGGCGAGTGCCAGACATGGGTGTTAGGGAGCCTGCTGTTAGTGCAGGTGAGGAGGTCGTGACTGAGGGGGGCTAGGTAGAAGTAGAGATTCATAGATGTAGGCATGTACCCCCCTAAAGTAACTAATGATCGTTTAGACGACACCTCCTGTTTATAAGAAAACCCCTAAACCCCTGCTGTGATTATAAGACATAAATGTCTTATATCATACACACAAATAGGTGTCTTATAATGAGGCTAGCCTGTTTATAAGAGACACCCGGATAATAGACAACCCCTGTCTACTATTCAACACAGTCTACTATCCGGGCGATGACGGTAGCGGGCACCGGACAGTCCGTTTCGAAAATTCGAAACTTTAGATTGTCCGAAGGCAAAAACGTCACTTTTCCCTACTTCAAAAACTACCGAAGTACTGTGGCCTCGCTAGAGCTACTGTATCATCGTAACCCCAGTCACACACTCTCGCCAGTTTCGCTCACCCCATGGCGGCTCGATTTCAAACATTCACAACCACCCAACACACCACACAACTCGATACATTGAAACTGTTGGGCTGAGAAAAGCCCTTAGGATCTTTGCAGGACTAAATTCTAAGTAGGACAATGTAACAGCGGAAGCGTTAAATGAGAACTTTGTGAACCACCTTGCGCTAGTGTCAAAACATATGCATAATTGTATCTAGGCTACATTGGGGCTAGCCTTAGAGGGTACACAAATAGTCTCGACACTCTAGTCTTGTACCCCAATCTTCACCTAATCATCACTTTTCTCGTTCCCTAGCTAGTGATTCTAACATGGTATTAAGAGCACAATGCTCCTTAGGACCGATTTTTTAAAAAGGGCCCACCACTACTATTTCGATCTACTGCCCGAGTCGCGCCCCTAGGAGAAATGCGAAATTCGAAACCGTGCTCTAGGCGAGACGGTTCCCTAGACGCGATTTTTTTTCCCTCCTAGTCACGTGCGACCCCCCCCTGAACGCGTAGGCCCGTCGCGAAGCCCGTACAGCCCACGTAGGCCCGTCGCGAAGCCCGTACAGCCCGCGTAGGCCCGTCGCGAAGCCTGTACAGCCCGCGTAGACCCGTCGCGAAGCCCGTACAGCCCGCGCCAGGCCGTCGCGCAGCCCGTACAGCTCGCGCCAGGCCGTCGCGCAGCCCGTACAGCTCACGTCAGGCTCGCACCCAGCGCGTAAAGCCCGCGCCAGGCCCGCACGCAGCCCTTACAGCCCGCGACTGGCCCGCACGCGGCCCGTGTTACTGTTACTCACTGCTGCTGCTACTGAAGCTAGTGCTGCTACAACTAGTGCTACTGCTGCCACTGCTACTACGGCACTTGCTACAGCTACTCTTGTCTGAAACTACTCCAGCTACAGCTAGTGCTACTGCTGCAGCTCCTACTACTACACTTGCTACAGCTAGTGCTACTGCTGCAGCTCCTACTACTACACTTGCTACAGCTAGTGCTACTGCTGCAGCTCCTACTACTACACTTGCTACAGCTAGTGCTACTGCTGCAGCTCCTACTACTACACTTGCTACAGCTAGTGCTACTGCTGCAGCTCCTACTCCAGCGCTTACTGCAGCTGCTCCTGAATGAAGCTACTGCTGCTACAGCCCCTGAAGCAGCCGCCCCTGGTGCAGCCGCCCCTGGACCCTCGAGCAGCCGCCCCTGGAACCAGAGCAGCCGCCCCTGGCCCCTGAAGCAGCCGCCCCTGGTGCAGCCGCCCCTGGACCCAGAGCAGCCGCTTTGCACGCCCTCGCGTGCCCCTAGCGTACCGGCCCCGCCCCACTAGCCCGCCCTTGCTGGCCTCGTGCGACCAGGCCCCGCCCTAGCTAGCTCGCCACCTCGTGCCCCGTGCGGACCGCCCCACTCTGCCCTGCACGCCCTCACGTGCCCCACCTCGAGTAGCCGCTGCCTAGCCGAGCCGAGCCGCCCCACCGAACCGCGTCACCCGGCCCGAGCCGCGCCGCCCTACCGAGCCGCGCCCCTGATTCTGTCACTGCTACTGTCACTACTGCTGTTTCTGCTACTACTACTGCTACTGCTCCTACTGTCACTATGGCTAACCCTCCTGTGCTAGCTTTCGATGCTGAGGGCCGCCCAGTGAAGTTTGACACCTGGCTCGATGACCTGCACCTATTCCTACAACTCACTGCCAAGGAAGACATCTCACTGTACGATCACGCCTTAGGCCATGCCACTGCCCCTGCTGCTACTGCTGATAGCACTGCCCGCTCACAGTGGCAGACTCGTGACGCCCACGCTCGCTTTGCTATTCGCAACTCCCTGCCGATAGATGAGCGCGAGCACTTTGGCCAGCACAAGACTGCACAGGCACTGTACACCGCTGTCGTTGCCCGCTACTCCTCACCTGCCTCTGCCGCGCTAGGCCGTCTCTCACTCCCCTACCTGTTCCCCGACCTGGCCTCTTTCCACACAGTCGCTGACCTCATCACGCACCTCCGTACTAGTGAGGCCCGCTTCCGTGCCGCTATGCCCGATGAGTTTCTTGCCACGAACCCCCCCCCGCTCTGGCTCACTCTCTACCACCTAGTCACCCGCCTCCCTGACACTCTGCGTGCAGTCAGGGATCACTTCCTATCTCGCTGCCCCACTGAGCTCACCATTGCCCTCCTCGAGAAGGAACTACTTGCAGCTGAGGCTAGCATAGTCGCTGTCGGTGCCTCTCGTGGCGACCCCCACACCCCTTTCTTTGAGGGGTGTTCCCCTTCCCCCCTTCTTCCCTCTGTAGCCTCTGCTTCTGCTGCCGACCTCCTTGGTGCTGAGAAGGTCGGGACTGCGTCCACTTCGAGCTGGCGCCGCAGCGGCAAGGGCAAAGGGGGCAAGGGAGGCGGAGGTGACGGCGGGGGAGGCGGTGGTGGGGGCGGTGGAGGCGGTGGGGGTGGTGGTGGGGCTGGAGGGACTAGTGGCAGCGGTGGGGGTGGTGGCGGCAGCGGCGGGGGAGGTGGCAGGGGCGGGGGCGGTGGTGGGGGCGGCGGTGGTCGTGGCGGCGGCAGGGGAGGGGGTGGTCGAGGAGGTGGCGGCGGCGGTGGTGGTCGTGGAGGCGCTGGCAGTGGCCAGAGCCAGCAGCGCACTCCGTCGCCCCAGGAGCTCCGTGAGTGGTACTCTCAGCATGGGGGGGGGGGTGGCCTTAGCTGCACGTACGTCATCCGCACTGGTGACCGCACTGGTCAGACGTGTGGGAGGGCGCACACCACGCAGCGCTGTTTCTCTCGCCTCGACGACGCTTGGCGTACTCAGTTCCCTGATGCCACTGAGCTGCCCCGCTGGGCTGATCTGATGAAAAAGAACATTGATATCTATGCTCTAGACTTTGATGCTATTCTCACTGCCATGTATGTGATGTCTACTAGTGGAGAGGGTGCTCAGTACCTGCGTGTTCCGCCCGACCCGGGCATTCGGACCAGTGAGGCTACCGCTCTAGGTGCTGGTGAGGCTGCTGCTCTAGGTACTAGTGAGTCTGCGCCCCCTGGTACTGAGTCGACTGAGGCACTACACACCTTCACACTGGACTCAGGTGCTTCTCATTGTTTCTTTCGTGACCGCACTGCCCTTGAGCCGCTTGCTCGGCCAGTTGCTGTCTCCCTCGCTGACCCCTCTGGGGGTCCGGTCATTGCGACCTCCTCCACTGTCCTTCCTTGTCCTGCGGTCCCGTCGGGCACACTGTCAGGTCTCCACCTCCCCTCGTTCTCTACGAACTTGGTGGCGGGTTGTGCGCTCCAGGACGGGGGTGTTCACCAGTTCACCCCTGCCTACGAGCGCGTGACACACTGCACGTGTGCTCGGACGGGCCGTCACCTGGCTACCTTCACTCGGCAGCCGGGGTCGGACCTGTACACACTGACCACTGAGTCCCCTCAGGTAGCTGCGTCTGCGTCTGCGTCAGGTCAGCTGTCGGCCCCCTGCTCGTGTCGCTCTCTGGCGCATGAGACCGTTCTCTGGCACCACCGACTTGGTCACCCGTCTGTGCAGCGCCTTCGTGCCATGCATAAACGGTACCTTGTCTCTGGTCTTCCCAGGGTTCTCCCTCCCCTCCCACCCTCGCCTGCTCCTCCCTGTCTTCCCTGTGTCGAGGGGCGGCAGCGCGCCGCTCCTCACTCCTCCTCGTTTCCCCCGACGACTGCTCCCTTGCAGACGCTCCACATGGACGTGTGGGGCCCAGCCCGCGTCCGTGGTCAGGGTCAGGAAAGGTACTTCCTGATAGTTGTTGACGACTACTCGCGCTACACCACGGTCTTCCCCTTGCGCACCAAGGGTGAGGTCCCTGATGTTTTGATCCCTTGGATCAGCGCTTCTCGTCTCCAGCTTAGCGAGCGTTTCCACTCGGACTTTCCTGTCCTGCGCTTGCACTCTGACAGAGGTGGTGAGTTCTCCTCCGACCTCTTGGCAGCCTACTGTGCGGAGCACGGCATCCGCCAGTCGTTCACGCTTCCGGCCTCTCCACAGCAGAATGGGGTTGCTGAGCGCCGCATTGGCTTGGTCATGGAGGTCGCTCGTACCTCCTTGATCCATGCGGCTGCCCCCCACTTTCTGTGGCCGTTTGCAGTCCGATACGCTGCGCATCAGCTCAACCTCTGGCCCCGTGTCTCCGTTCCGGAGACTTCGCCGACGCTGCGTTGGACAGGAGAGGTTGGCGATGCGTCACGCTTTCGGGTCTGGGGATCTCGAGCCTTTGTTCGCGATACGTCCGCAGACAAGCTCTCCTCCCGCGCTGTTCCTTGTGTCTTCCTTGGCTTTGTCCCGGACGCGTCTGGTTGGCAGTTTTACCACGCCGCCTTGCGCCGTGTCCTGCCCTCACAGGACGTCACTTTTGACGAGTCCGTGCCCTACTACCGCCTCTTCCCCTACCGCACTGCCCCGCTCCCCCCCCCGCCTCTCTTCCTCGCCCAAGGTGCTGCTATGGTAGACCCCCTCCCCCCTCAGGGTGCCGCTCCCTCAGGTGTGTCCCAGGTAGACCCGGTTGAGCCTGTCGAGGTAGCTGTCGACTCTCGTCCTGCTAGGGGTGCTGAGCCTGAGCGTGCGGAGCCTGGGGGTGCG